TAAGGGAGAAGGATAAAGCAGCAAAGGAGCAACAGGCATACTACTTTAACAGGCGACATGGTGTGAAGGACTTGCCTGTTCTCAGACCAGGGGATTCAGTCCTGTTGAAGCTGGATGGTGAGTCACAGTGGAAGGGACCGGCTAAGGTGCTAACGGAGAGTACCACTCCAAGGTCATACAATGTGTCCCATGACAAGGTGGGTGAAAGAAGGAGAAACAGAAGACATATCCAGTTACTACCCGAAGGCGTTCAAGAAGAGACTTTTACAACAACAACGTGTCCCAATCAGCCCACACAGAAAGTCCAGCATTGCAGGGACTCTGATATACCGGTTGAGGCAGTTACAATGCAACCTACTATAACAAGGTCAGGTAGAGTTAGTAAGCCTGCGGTTCGCTTGGACTTGTGAAAAGATGACAGTAGTACTGTAAAATGTAGCAAATACCAAATGTAGAATGTTTTATGTGGGTGTTATGTTAATTTGGTTATAACACAACATAGTAATGCATGTCGGAAGAGAGGATGTTGAACAGTGGAGTCGGTAACATGCAATGTTGGAGCAATAGTCTGGCATATAGTTATAGGTCATTGTTTTGTGGCAAGCAAGTTTTAAATAATGATTTACGGTTAATTCTTTACAGTTGCTGTATAATGGAAAAATGGAGTTCAGAGTGATATGGGGTTCGCATGTTAATGGTAATAGAAATGCTACCCTAAGGATTTGACTTTAAAGGGGGAGGTGTCAGGGTATTGTGTATTGATTAGTGTGTTATATCATCCACCCTGCTAGGGGGCCTCAGTGAGTTATACATATCGGCAGGCGCCAGGCAGGGACAAGGGTTGTCTTCATCGGTTGTTGTCTGTAAAAGAGCACAGGGAATTGTGTACTGTTCCACGGCGTTCGTAATAAACAAGAAAGTGACGAATAAATGCCTCCTGGTAAATAAATACAAGACACCGGTAGCTTGGGTGCTAGCCAGCCAGAGTCGGGACATCCTGGAAGGGATGTCTCTGGAAGAGGACGCGCATCTCACTGATCAGGTGCGCAACAACCTCCGGCAGCTGCGGGGGAGACTACCCGAGCTGAGATCCGGGTGGATCCTGCTCGACGATGAGTGGTTGCCAGATCCACCGCGGGACCTCCTTGAGAACGCCCAATCCCTGCCGAAGGCTGCAAAACGGAGGAAGAAAAGGAGGAGAGGTAAAAGACCAGAAGACGCACGGACGATCTTTTTGGGGGCGGTTTCCCTCTCCTCATCTTCCACTGTCATGTGTCTGGAGGAGTGCCTCCCGATCCTTGACCCAGGGGTGTTCCTGCCAGTGGCAGACACTCCTGCACGGCCCCCAGAAAAGACAGATCCGTCCCTAACCAGACAGTTCTTCACCCTCCAAGAATTATATTGGATGGTGCTGCAGGATCCGACCGTGCAGAACTCCCCAGAAGCAGCCCAGCTTGCTGAACAGCTACAGGGAGAGTTTGCTACCTTCACCCCAACCTCTCCCTGGGGCGATTTGGAGAGGTTGGCAGATGGAGGAGCCCCTTCTTGCCAGTTGAGAAAGGAGCCGGCCAATGGCACCGCCACCTCTTCCCAGCAACCGTCGACTGCATTACTGCCTGCAGCACGTCCCATTTCTGGGAACTTACCTGGCTCTTAAAGGGACCAAGACAATAGGGCAGTGTTTCCCAACCCAGTCCTTGGGGAAGAGCGGACAGTCCACATTTTTGCTCCCTCCCAGCGCACCTGTACCAGATATCCGGTGTTCCGGATTGGCTGGGAGCTGGGAGGGAGCAAAACCGTGGACTGTCTGGGGTTCCCCGAGAACTGGATTGGGAAACACTGCAATAGGGGATGCCATTCCCCGGATCCCCAAGATTCTTAAAAGGGCAATGCTGGCTGCGGAGACACACAACCCTGGCTCCCATACATCACCCGCCTGATGTTCCTGTCCCACTGGCGCCTGTTCTGCCCGTCGTTTCTGACCTGCCTGTTCTGCCCGCCGAGCCTGTGCTGCCTGAGCCTGACCTGCCGGTCCTGAAGGTTCTTAAAGGGGCCATGCCTGCTGCTGAGGCGCAGGCCCCCTGCACCACCCCCTGAGGTCCCGCCTCTGCCTGCTGCTATGCCTGAGGTCCCGCCTCCACCCATGCCTGACGTCCCGGCCCAGGCTACGCCCATCCCAGTTCCTGACGCTGCTCCAGTTCCCCCGGCACCAGTCCCAGTCCCCGATGAGGTCCCAGATCCCAACCAGGTCTCCGACCCCAAAAAAGCCATAAAACCCATAATACGTGTTTGTCATATGCTTTTGTGCTTATTAATTTAAGTATTTCCAAAGATTAATCTTAATCCCACAACAGTAATAAATATAAAATCCTTGCTTTAACATAAATACTAAAAGAATAGATTGCTTTATCGCTATTGTCACGCCCCGCTCCGTCCGCTCCTGATGTGTGCCACGCCCAGGGGCGGATTAACGCACAGGCTAGATATGGCTTAAGCCTAGGGGCCCCACGTGTGCCAGCCTGCAAGGGGGCCCCCATTGGCGCGGAGCGGGGCTGGGTTGGGGGGCCCACAGACTACTGTAGTCTAGGGGCCTCCGTACACCTTAATCCGCCCCTGGCCACGCCCACCTCGTTACCTCGTGTTCAGCCCTGATCGTGATCACCTGTGTCCTGTTACGTGTAGCTTGTCTTTTGTGTTTAGTCCTCGTCTGAGTCAGTCTTCCCCAGATCTGTCATTGTAGTGTCACGTTAGATGTCCGTGCCTGTTCGTCCCTCCCTTAATAAACCCCTTTACAGGACTTCCTGCCTTCGCTCGCCTGCTTCCTTGCTCGCCTCCCGTCTGACGCTGACAGAATGACAGATCTCCCCGAAAGCACGAAGCAGCAGTCCGAGCACCACCGGCTCGGACTGCTGCAAGACTTCGTGTACTGGCAATCCCAGCCCGAAGTCCAGGAGGACCCAATAGCCCTGGAACTGGCTAGCAGGGGCCGGGACCTGCTCCGGAAGGAGCGCCCGTCGGGGCAGGACTACCCTCTGGGCAAAGCCCGGAAATGCCTCCGTCGGCTACAACGCCGGCTCGCCGAGCGAGGGGAGAAGCTGCAGGAGGAGACTCCGTCGCTCTTCCTGGGAGCCTGCTATCTCCTCCCC